AGAGGCCAGAATTTTTAGAAACATTTCAGAAAATTTTCGTAGAATGTGTTCACGCCCATTTATTCGAGAGGATTTATGGTTTCCCTCTCCCCTTTCTCTCAAAAATTTTTTCGGACCTTGCTGAAGAGTGACTTCGCTCTCAAACCATTTCATCAATAGCAAAAATCGCTAAGTACTGCGGAAGTCTCGCATCTTTTCAGCAATTCCGCAGCACTTCATTGCAGGAGTTCCGTCGCAGAAATTTAGAAGGTGACCTGGCGGAATTACTGCGAAAGTGTTGCAGAAGTTTCGAGATTGACAAAGAATACTGCGAGAATTTTTGAGAATTTTTTAGAAAAAAAATGATATTGTAGGCGTACCGCTAAAATGTCATTGCTACTCAATATGACTAAATGGAGATGAAGTTTATTTCTTATTTGTTCAATTTTTACAATTTTTCCAGTGAAACTTCTCTCTGCGATTGAGCATTCGTTCTCTAAAGAAATATGACCTGGTGTTCTCACTCGTGACGATCGCGGCTTTCCAATTTATCCGAGATTAGCTGCATTAACGTCAGCTGATCTCGTTGCATCCTCTAATCCCTTCTAAATCCGCTGAAGAACGCGGTAGTAGCAAAAAGAACGTACATTTCTCCCAGAAAAGGAATCACGCCATTTTCTTTTCTAGATACATAAAAAATATAAATCAATAATAATATGTAAAATGAGCAAAAAAGTTCACTTGAAAAAAAAACTTTTTTACCTCCATTTTGATACTAGTGATTCTATGATGTCCTTACGCTTTCACATTCTACATTTTCTAAAAAATTTATAAAAATACTCGCAGTGTTCTTTCTCCATCAAAGTGACCCTTCAGTAGGACTCTGAAAAAAATTTCCTCGGGAAAGGGCGTGGAGGGGGTGGGGAGACGATGAAAATTTCTTCGAATGATTGGGCTTGGACTCCACATCGTTGAGCCGTGAAATTTTGGATGAAAAAAAGGGCAATAAAGCACCGCTAAGTTAATTTGAAATTTTTTTGGACTCAAAAATTATTATAGCAAACAATCATCATATTAAATTATTTGGACTGAATAGTTTGTCACTTTTGTCTCTTTTTCCCTCGGTCTTTTTATTTTTTCTTCAAATCACTAACCAATTTTTAAGAATGTCGTAAAAAGTTTTCATAATATCCAGGCTAAAAGAGTTTGCAAAGAAAGCGGATAAATACGTGTAAAGCTTTTTCTTCCACGGTGTTTTACGGCTTATAATTTTCTTTTTCCTTGCCAAAAAAATTCTCGAAGCGATAGAAATATTCCATGCGATGATTGATTAGGTGTCCTCACAATGTTACGTATTCTAAAGAATTCCTCCGAAGTCCCAAAAAGGGCATTGGTTCCTTTAGAATGCCAAGTACTTCACTCTCATAAAGGTCTACCACACAATAAACGGAGTACGGTAATTGTAGGTGCCGTTCTTGATCTTTTCGAGATCGGCTTAGCTTAGATGCCTTACGTCAGAATCTTTGAATAAAAAGATGGATTATCTCCCATTTTTTGTGGGGGGTAATCTTCCCTTTATGTCTAGATGCTACTTTATCCTTCGGGATGATCCGAGCTGAATGATATTCTATAATATTAGAATGAATAACAACAATAGAACTTAGAAAGAGTGCAAAGTACTTTAGACAAATAGCCAGAAGAGTACTGAACTGAGGCTCCCCTACCCTACAATAAGCCAAGGAAAATTAATTTCTTGGAATGGTGACGGCCACATCTTCTTCTTTCCAAATTTTTGCAATTTATATAGCGGCGAAAACTTTGGAAGGGATCCCAAAAAAGTTTCCGAAGGAAGTAGCTGATTGTTTTTCAAAAAATCTTTGTAGTGGTCTTCCTCCGCTTACATTAGTACTTAGCTTAGAAGCAGGCCTTAAGAGAGCGACATCCGTATTGCTTGGGTCCTTCAATGTTTCTTCCGTATAGAGAGATCGACCTGGAACCTGCGAAAGTGCTGTTAGGCCACGCCCACCCTATCAAGCTCCGCCCATCCAAAGAGTGGAAGTGCCTACGCCTTCAAGTTAAGGTTCCCGGAAGTCGGTTTTTGGGGGGAACGGCGGGTACACGTTTTGTGCTGCTAAGCCACTGATCAAGATTACGAAAAGGTCCCAATATGACAAAAACATGGAAAACTAAATTTTTCTGGGGGGAGGGCGGGGGGAGGTAGTACTGCCTTCAGAGGGTTTCTATTTCCAAGAAAAATCCGATATGTAGACGAAATACGCAGCCGTAGATCACTTTGGCCGCGCGTTCCACCTCATAGAATTTAGAAAATTCACTTCTCTAAGAGTACTTTTGCCATTACGACACCCAAAATGTACTTACTGGGTGTGGTGGGTGTAGTAGAGGTTTTGCTGGTAGTGCTGGTAGTGCTGGTAATGCTTGTAGTGATAGCTGTCTCATGATTTCCTGTCCTTGTTGTAATATTCGCTGACGACGGCGATGTCGGTGGCGGTGGCGGTAGCGATGGCGGTGATGGCGGTGTCGGTAATGTGGACGAAGTCGGTCGCATTTCAACCAATTCCCAAAATCGGATTGGCTCTTTGATCTTGCTGGAGTCGATGTTTGGTTGCCATATACGTACACGAACTTGAGCTCTGGCTGTTCCGTAGAGGCTGAGCAGTACGACGAGAGGCAATGCCTGCATTGGATGCAGCAGGCAGGCTCGGGTACGTGGCGAGGCAGTGTGCCTGACCAGGAGGGAGGAGCTAGAGGGTTGGGAAGTGAGACGGGGAAAGTGGGAGGGTCCCAGCCGAGACAACGCAGAGGGAGTGTGAAGGTTCGCAGAC